TATAGATCACATGGAATCACTATTATATGAGTCACTATACACTACAGGCCACATGGAATCACTACTGTATGAGTTGGTGTACACTACAGACCACATGGAATTACTATTGTCAGACTCTGTACACTACAGATCACATGGAATCACTACTATAGAACTCAGTGTCCACTCTAAACCACACGGAATGACTACAGTAAGAGTCAGTGTACGCTACAGACTAAATGAAATCACTGCTGTGAGATTTGATGCACACTGCAGACCACAGGAAACCACTCTGCTGGGTGTCTGTGTGCACCGACAGAATACTATTGTTAAAATTACACGCCTTAAGAAAATACACAACCACGAAAGCAAAAGTTGCTCAAATCAGAAACATCAAATCACATAAAGATAAATCTGAAGAGAAATGACTGTCTTTGCAGTCCTCTAGGGCACATTACAGATACGAGTAGGTGCTGCCTGGGGAGCTGGATGGCCACCACTAGCATCATCTGAATTTGCAGAAGGGGAAACTTCTGCATCTCACTATGATGCTGAGTGACGTATAAGCACACAGTTTGAGATCTTGCTACTAATCCATTCACTAAAATTTGTGAAAAAATATGGTCCTTTCAAAAGCATATTGCTTAATAAATCAACCTGTGGTTTACAAACATAAAAAGAAAAAATAAGGTCCTTGGGAAATGGCTTAGCAAGGAAGATTCCTTGTTATTTAAGCATGACATCTTGAGTACAAATCCCCAGAATCCATGAAAAAGATTATTAAGGAATTATTTTGCATGACAAAATATGTTAGAACATTAATTTGAAATAGGAACTCCATTTTAAAAGTTTTGTGGTGATAAAATGCTGGATGACTAATATGTAATAAACAGCAGTCAGCCACACAGTCACACAGCCGCGGGCGGGGGGGCGGGGCCCCCCGCCCGGGCCCACAGCCCCGCCCACAGCCCCCACTCACAGCCTCACAGCCCCCCTCACAGCTGAGTCCATGCCTAAAGCACAAGGTGCTCCTTGGCACAATTAAAGTCAAATAGTTTGTCAATGGCACTGTGAAAAATGAAACCTGACACTACTGATTCCATATTTAAGTGTTCTTTCTGACCATAAACCATTTTAACTACATTTTCGTGATACTAACGTACTTTAATATAAAGCTGTAGAAGTCCATATAATTTTGAAAGGCTAAATGAATTCACATACAGAAACTATGGGAACAATATATTACTATCTCCTGTGTGTTGGGGGGGAGAGGAAGGAGAGAGTGTGTGTTAATTTTTGTGTGTCAGGGAGGGAGGGCGGACGGGGGGGGGGAGGGAGGGAGGGAGGGAGGGAGAAAGAGAGAGAGTGTATATGTGTGTAAGTCACAGAGAAAGAGTGTATGTGAGAGAGAGAGAAAGAGAGATGTGTGTGAGAGAGACAGAGACAGAGAGAGACAGAGAAGGAAAGGGAGAGGGAGAGAGTGTATATGTATGTCAGAGAAAGTGTGTGTGTGTGTGTGTGTGTGTGTGTATATGTGTGTGAGAGAGACAGAGAAAGACAGAGAAGGAAAGGGAGAGGGAGAAGGAGAGTGTATATGTATGTCAGAGAAAGTATGTGTGTCTGAGTGTGTGTGTGTATGTGTCGGGGGGTGCATGTGCACTTGCCTGCATGCCCACATGCAGAGGCCACAGGAAGACTTTCTGCATCCTTCCCTATCACTCCTGCCTTATTCCCACTGAACCTGCAAATGAGCTGGCAACTAGCAGGCCCAGAGTCCTGTCTCTGTTCCCACAGTGCTAAGATTAAAGTCACGCAAGGCAATGCATTAAGTGGGTATTGAGATTTGAACTCAGACAGTCATGTTTACCCACCAAATCCTCTGTTGTGCACTAAGACAGCCCCAGCCTCAATCACAGTCTTAAAATATTTTATTATTTCTTTTTTTAAAAAAATGATACCTGAGTATAACTTCTAAATACCTGACTTTCAAAGAATGATACCATGTATCATCCAAATGTCTGATGAATGAGACAGGAGAGTTAATAACTGTAACAAATGTAGCTTTGTCACTTCATTATTTTCTACAGCAATAAATACAACATTTGTGCTCCTGGATATTTTTTATAGTTACTAACATGAAAAGGACCATATCTTACATTAGTATTCTCTGAGTTATTGCTATAAAAGTCAACCGCACTGACATACCATCAAAGAAGCTCTTGGCCCTCAGGTAGCTGACGCTGAGTCTAAGAACAGAGAGTTTGTCCAGCTTATTAATAACATCCTGTGGGAAGGGCAGCAGGCTGGCCAGGCGGTCTAACTCTGTGTTCAGCCGGTCTCTATGTCGCTTAGAAGGATTTGACTTAACTCCTTCAGCAGGGACAGGCTTTACTCTGAAAAACAAACAATACGAAAAACCTTTAGAGAACACAGAACAAAAGTGTCTATCACATTAAAACATCTTCTCAGGGACCTCTCCACCCATGAAACATCACGTATTTCTCAATAAACCCACTTACCACACTGACGCCCAACTTTTCTTTTCTCACTTTTATGAAATTATGAAATAAGCACAATTATAAAGTAAGTGTCAGATAATACCAAGCTCTGCCAATAATACAAAGAAACCCATAGCATTCATCTAAAAATATACTAAAGCCACTGAGTTGTACAAATAAAACGGAAGTATTTTCATACTGATAGAGCCTTTAAGTAGAAAAATATTTTAAGGCAATTTTTACCTAGAAAAACTACTAGTAAGCATGCATTTGGCTTTAGAGAGTGTAATGTCTAGTGACTTACCTAGTTAATCATTTACATATTGGTAAGCACAGATTCGCCAATTTCTACTTCCTTAATTCTCCTTAAAGATTTTAGTTAGTCTTCTCACGAAGACTAAGATTAGCTATGCAGTTATCACAGTGACTTTTATGACCTCAATACAGAACCAGTGATAATCTCTTTTTGATTGGATTTCAGACCTGCTCTATGAGACGGAGCCTGCGCCTGACACCATGTATGAGCCCAAGAACCTGTGTAGACAGGATCCTCGGGGAAAACCTATTACTCTTAAATGGACATAGCAATAAAATGACTCCTAATGACTTATTGCTCCACCCGTAGATAAGCGCATTGCTCAACTCTTGACACAGAAGCTTCTTTTTCTAGTAGACAGCCATGAACGGACACACCCACAACTGGCAAACATGTAGCAAAAACACAGAGTCTAAAAGTGTGCTCAACCCTAATTGGGATGTTTATAACACATCTTTCCCCTCGTGGCTCAGGGATCTATGTGAAAGAAGGGACAAACATTTCCCAAGAGTCAAAGGCAGTGGATGGCTTCAGACATAACAGGGCAGAGGACGTATCAACTCACAGAGACTGTGACAACATGTCCAAGTCCTGTGAAAGGTCAAGCCAGACAAAGCCCTAGCAGAGAGGAGAGGAGGTCAACGTGAGATCCTACCTCCAGCTGAGAAGCTACTGTTACTTGATTGCTACTGGGAGAAAGAAAATCAAGTTTTCTACAATGGAAAGACACACACCCCGGAGTCTTGGCCAGCTAGATGAGAAACCAACACTAGGTGAAGCCAAGAGAACCCTGAAGAAAACTGAGAGGACTGTAAAAAGCTGGAGGGGTCAAAGACACCATGAGAACACTGACCACAGACTCAATTAAGGACTCACAGGGCCTCTCAGAGGCTGAAGCAACAACCAAGGACCCTATATAGGTCTGAGCTAGAACCTTTGCATATATTTTATGGCCTCACAGCTTGCTGTTCTGTGGGACTCCTAACAGTGGTGGTGGTGGGGGGGCTTATCTCTGACTCTTTTGTCTCCACTAGGGATACTTTTCCTCCCACTGGGTGGCCTTGTTCAGCCTTGATATGGATGAGGATTTGTGCCTCGTCTTATTGCAATTTCTTGGGTTGACATCACTGGGAGGTCTACTTTTTCTTTTTTTTTTTCCCTTGGGAGGGAAATGGAGGAGTGAGTCTAGGGAAGAGGGGTGTGGGGAAGGGCTGGGAGGAGTAGAGTTAGAGGAAATTGTAGTTGGGATGTGAAGAACAAATATTAAAATTGAGTATGTGCGCACACACACACACACATAGAGCGGGAGGGATGAGAGGTACTTGGGTGGGTAGAGGTAGGGAGGATCTGGAGGGAGTTTGGGAAGGAATGAATATGATCAAAATACACTGTATCAAATTCTCAAAGGAAAAAAAATTCTGAAGAAGACTCCTGACTCTGGCCTCCATGTGCACTTGCATACATGTACAATACATGTGCATACGTACACGTATATACAGACACACACACACAGTAGAGGAATAATTTCAAGATGAAGAGAACAGAAAACACACTCAACTCTTGGTTCCATGCGTTCTTCATTTTGTCCCCCCAGCTCTAGTGCAAGGGCATTGATCTCTGAATGAGAATTTCAAATGCTAATCATCATAAACTCTGTGCTTGCTTTAAAATGATGAGTGGTATATGGCATAAAGATGAATTTCATTGCTAGGCTACGTTCAGCTTGATGTTTTATTTCCCTATATGAGACAAAAGGCATCCACAGAACCTTCTGAGACTTCTACCTGGAAGCTCCACTGAGTCAGACTCTCTTTCCAGTGTCCTGCTGCTGCTTTCTAGCTGTGATGGGTTCTTTACTGTTGGTTTTAGTTAAGGAGAGATGTATGTGTAAATAGCAGGTTCTTACACAAGAAGCACATATTTAAAAAGCCAAAAAAATTAAATAGGTCTAGAAATAATGATTCTGTAGGTAATCTTGAAAAGATTAGGATGAATGTTTTCTCTCCCTATTTCTTAAGTATTTGCATGTTCTTTTTTAAGTATTACTCTTTGAGCCCACATAACAGATCCAATATACCACAATTACCAAGATAAGACCAGGAAAATATTAAGGGATGATCAACTGGTAATTTAGTAAACCTCAAATACTTACTATGCAGGAAGCCCTGGTCCCTGCAAAGACAAATGCAGCAATTCTGATTCTCTTACCAGGAGCAAACATACTCTAGAGTGCGGCAAACACGTATAATCCATTGCTCAGTGATGGAGGTGGTTTAGCAGTGGTGAGCAAGAGTTTCTAGAGGTGCAGATCTCTAAATCAGGTGTTAAATATAGGCAGGACATTCTGGATTCATAACACCAGAATACAACAGTTTCTGGAGCTACCATTCTCCTTCAGAAATAAAGGAAAACAAGGGCAGAAATCCTGTCTCTCACACATCTAAGACATTGCGCCCACATGGTAAAGAACATGACAATGGAAAATAGTGTAAACGACCAGTGTATATGAGTGGGAGGGACATGTAATCACAGAACATTACTTAGCTCAACAACAAAGAATTTTACACAGTCAAAAACAACGAGAGGCTGAAAGCATATTTAATCCAAAACTCTGAGGTGAGATCAGGAAGAAATGAAGCAAACTCAGGAGAGACGGAAAACTGATGTCCTCACGAAAGGCACCAAAGACAAGGCCCAGCACACTGAGCGCAAGATGGCAGGCACTGTGTGCACATTACTGACTTTTAAAATGTGTACGCATTTTAGAGGAATTTAGTTCAGAACAAGAAAAAAGAACAAATTAAGAAGCTGAAAAATATTAGACAAAGTCAAGTCAATACAGGAAACATAAAATCCTACTATTGCACATAAGCACAGTTCCAACATACAAGCTCAACCACCTCCATCACTTGCTTGCAAAACTCATAATATTTTTATGTAAAATACATGGATACAGACATGGCTCTTTGACAAACAATGTGGATGTTATTCACGAAAATTTTATAATCTAATTTGACACTGTATCTGACTGTAACACATGGTTCATCCTTAGAAGTATATAAACCCTTGTCCCCCAAAATTCCACCTAAACAGGTTTGTCCTATGGAAATAACACATTTATGTAAGAGTTTACAAATCTCCGGGGTATTCTCTGAAACACCAGTTAAATTACTGAGATGTTAGAAGTGACAGAATGTGCCCTATAAAGGAAAATACCGAAGGTACTCAGTAGAACAACATGCAGTTATTCAAAGTGCTTCACAGGGAGATGTGTGTACCCGTGCAGGGAAACGGGGGTTGGGGGACGCTAAGAAAAAGGACATGAATACAGAAGCAAGCGATGAGCAGGTACAGATTGAGTCCTGAAGTGGCAATCAACTGTTTCTGCCTCAGTGCTATTAGAGAAGATGCAGTGGATAACCGACAAGGCCCAGGACAGGGGCCATCGTGCACAGTGATTAACCTGTTCATCTCAACAGTCCTGCACCAAGGCTAAGAACTTACTACCTGAACCGACTTTGAATGTGTACCTTAGGTCCCAGTGGCATAAGACAGAAGTGATAACATTATTTCCATAGTACTACTATGAAAATGAGATTAAACTATGTATGGAAAAGTCTGTGTTCAATGCTCCTATCAGAACATACTGGGAAAAAACAGCAATGTTTGCTGTATGACACTGCTAAGCAAAGCAAATAGTTTTTAGAGTTTAGAAGTAGGAGAATACTGTTAAAGATCTGTATAGTGCTCACTTCTAACTAATGGTGTTAACTAAGCACAGGAAGGAGACTGTACTGCTCAGTGGCTGGGGAAAGTAAGATTCTCTAGTGTCTGTATGTGCCGATTCACGCCTTCAACACATAACCAGCAGTACTTAAAGAACAGACCTCTCCACTTGGATCTCCAGAAGTCTTCTTTTTTTCTAGTTTAGTTATAAGTGGAGGAGATTGTCCTGCTAGTCTTAATAATAATAATGATAATAATAATAATAATAATAATAATAATAAAATAATTAACTTGACCAAGAAAAGGGAGAGAGAAAGAACATGAAATGGTGTGGGTCAGGAAGAGGAGAGGACCTGGGATGAGTTGAAGGAGGGGAAAGAATATGATCAAAATATATTGTATGAAAAAAAGAATTTGAATACAGACAAACAACAATAACAAAGGAGACCTGACTAACAGCAGGCAGAAACCAGGTCTCCTCCTTTAGTTTAAATCTGGTGCTTATTTTGTTCAGGTTGATGTGAGCCCGCATGTTAGACCCACCTAGAGGTTAGTGTAAGGCACATCCACAGTCTCAGCACAGATACTCTTTCAATAATCCTATATGAGAGAAAATGAAAAATAATACCTATCTGCAAAGTCCTTTAATTCTAAGTGCTCTCTAGAAAAGGGCACCATACTATAGCTCTATGGAAAATTTAGTATTGTGTACTGTAACAACACTCTTAGTAAGTTTTATTATACAGATGAGGCTCACAATGTTTTAATAGAATGGAGGGAGGGCTTACATATTACTTCAGCATTCCAGAATACTAATAAGGTAAAAGTTGTCATTGGTGTGTACCTTAGCAGCAGATCATGAGACCCTTGGCATGGCTGGCTTGAATAAGACCACAACTGCAGATTTTATTTATTGAACAGCTACTATTTGCTAACAATCCTAAACTACAGTAGCAGTAAGACAGTTTCTGTATCAATAAAAGCTTCAAAAATATATTTAAAGTTTTAATCACCAGAGGAGATCGTTCCATCTTCTATTTCATTCAACCACCTTCATAAGATGGAATAGCTAAACAAATGCACACAACATTTTCCTCTCCAAAGAGAATAAGCAAGAACAGGGTTTAAGTGAAAACAGACACTAAATGTAGGACCACTAGCTAAGACACATCTCGGAAGATTCTATTCCCAGGTTGGTCTTTGAAAATTCTGTCCTTGAGGATGAGGATACGGGCTGCTTCGGATCTCTTAATTTACTAACTTTTACTGCACTGAAGAAGAAGGAAACAGTTATTCACAGTGCAGCATATACAAAACACTACTGGCATGAAACTGAACACATTTCAAACCAACTTCCTACTACAGATAACTGTCATGGTGAGACCAGCCACTAGAGGGGGCTTATTTTGCATCTAGATCCTCATTTGAAGACTAAAAGAGCTTCAGGCTAAAAATCATGTCACTCTACTCCAAAGTTTCATGGAACTGTATATTTAAATATACATTTAAATATATTATATAAATTTATATTATATAAATATACATTTTCTTAACACTATAGAATTACAGAGCATATGCTCTGTATAAAACGGCTATCTCTTAAAGGGTCCGAGTTAATTAAATTAGAAAGCAAGGTCAACACATCTTTGTGTTTTTCCTAAAACTGAGGTATTTGGGGCCTCACTGCACACCAGCTAAGTAGTTTAACTTAAAGACTCATATTAAAGCTCAATGGTCTAATTGTTAAGGGTAAACTTTGATTACGTGTATTATAAAGTTCACTATTTTCTATTCAGGGAGGGAAATATAAGTACTTTCACTGGAGGATCTAAGTGCCAGCACTAAAAGTCTTCGACAAAGCAAAGTGATAACCTTTAAGGCATATATGAAGGGTAAGAGTTGATTAAAGGTGCTCTGTACAGATCTGATAAACAGAAGTCAAGAACCAAATAAAATAAAAGTTAGTGGGGACAACAGTTTAGTTGTAAGAAATTATCAAATACAAATAGCGAGGCAATATAATAAAAGGTGTCTCTTAATCTAAAGGGAACTGTTGTGTTAAAAGGGAAGGTCTCTCTATTAACTAGAAACTAAAAACATTCAACGTTATAATGAATAACATCTAAGATGGTGAACTTTGTATAGAAAGCAGTTTATGTCCTCAGTAACACAATGAAAATCAGTTACTAAAACACTCATGGCGAGCTTCAGATTTTATGCCCATGTACCTAACATCTGAGATTTTTCATCTCATGCTGAGTTAGTATTACGATTAATGAAAATGGGGAACAAGCACTTGAAAGCCTCTGAAACGTTAACCGTCAGGAACAAAGTCAAACTGAGCAAACATGTTTTAATAAAAAGAAAACATTTTACAAAATAGCGATGCACTGAAAGCCAGGGACCAAAGAACTGCTGGGGCGGAAAACTGCTGAGTCAACGATATTTGTGTCCTTTAAAGTGCACCATAAACCTTCCAAATTCTGATCAGACTAGCTTTACACAGGAACATCTCCTCTCAATATTAATTTGTAAGTCAAGATTTGAGGAACTAGAACAGTTGAAATTCTTTAGGGGAATTAAAATCCACAAATAACCCAACGTCTAAGCTAGTAACTAGATGTAAACAGTGTATAAATCTTAAGATGTTATTTTTTTTTTTGTTCACTTGATGATAGCTGTCAGGTTTCAAGCAAAATGCACACTTCTGATTGCCTGAGAGTGCTCCTAAAATAATTTTATTTTATTCTTTAACTAAGAAATGGTAAGTTGTGGAAACTCCAAGATAATTATGAATGAATGCCTCAATACAGCCAACTCCTAAACGGAACCCTGTCTCTTCTCTAAGAAACCCATGGATCTCTTCTCTAAGAAAAAATATTTATAAATATCTCCCATCTGAGACAAATAGCCAATAGAAAAAAAAAAAAGAAGACCAGAGTCTGTAATCACTGTCAGAATTGGCCAAAGTTTTTAAGCGAGGGGAAATGAATTACAGGTAGACAGTAGAAATAACTTACAAGCCAGTCTAGTTCTTTTTCCTCTTTTTAATGTTTTAAAATTTTATAGACCCTAAAAGCACTCCAAAAGGAGGAAGAAAGCTTCACTTAAGAGTGCCTAAGAAGGTCACCAAGGCGCCAACCAGCCAGGGCACCTGTCCACTGCAAACTCCAACCTGCTACCAATTCTGCGCCTACACCGAGTCCTGCAAAATTGCTGCCTAGGAAGTAAAGGAGAGCAAAACAGAAAGCTAGGCGCTAAGAACGGAAAGGAATTCCTTCAAAGGCACAGGTCCCCTCCTTCAAGACAGCACGTGTTTAGCTCTGCCCACCGTCTCACCTCAGTGAGCTGTCTACTCATCCTCCGTGTCCCCTAAAGCTCACGGTGGTGGAGATCTAGAGTGGAGGATTTCCAGGCAGGCTTAACTAAGCCAGAGCGGCACTAGGTAGGTCAGAGCTGTCAACGTATCAGGGTCAGGGAAGGTCGCCGAGCTACAAGGTGCAGGCGCCCGAAAGCAGGGATTTTTTTTTTTAATGCATTGCTTGAGACCCAGCTCCTGGATGGCTGCACGCGTGGGGACCTCCCGCACCCGCAGAGCGCGCCTGCCCGCCGTCACTCACGTTTTCTGCACCGGCTTGCGCCGCTTGCGGCTGGCATAGGTGATGTTGGCGCCGCTGCTCATGGTGCCCGCGCCCTGCCCGCTCCACCTGCGTCCCGGAGGCGGCGCCCTGCCCGCGCTGCGCCCAGGTGAGCCGCCACCGCCGAGGGCGGGACCGACCGCGATGCGCAGGTGCGGGCGACAGAGGGGACGCGGGGCTGCCCGGGCTGCCCGCGGAGAGGGAACCCGCACGCCAGCCGCGCCCGGTCCCGAGGGTCAGGAGGAGCGACGGTGCTCAAAGGCTACCCTGCTCAGGCGATGTGCTGCCGCTCCGCTCAGACCCCAGCCGGGCTGCCACCCCCAAGTCCGTCCACCAGTCCGTCCTCCGGGTCGCTCCGGGCTTAGCCTCTCCGGGACACGCGTGGGGCACTGAGCGTCGAGGGGAACCGCACACACGCGCTGCCGCCCTCGGAGAGCCCGCTCCTCCGCAGCCGCGACCCCGCGCAGCTCCGCCCCGGGCTCCAGCCCCGCCCCACCTGCTTGGCCCCGCCCCTCACAGTTCCCAGGAGGGCCCCACCCTCTTCGCAGCACGTGATGACGCAAGACGTAGTGACTCCCTACAGTTCTTGCAGCCAGAGCTTCTGGGGTTGAGGTGGTGTTTACCCAGTACCTGTTTTCCAAACTAGAAGGGGGTGTGAGGCCACATTATGCCTAGGGAAATTCCTTGTACCCAGACATCAAGATTTACCAGGCAAAGAGCTTAGCTCCTCCTAGAGTTGAGTCATCTCATTTTTGACAAAGAGTTTACTTTGAGCTGGTGGAAATACTGCGACTGGAGAGCATTCTAGGGGCAAAGCTTCAGAAATGCCCTTTCAAAGTTAAGCCTTGAAAGTTTTATAATTGTTTCCCCTACCACATTTAGTGTATGTCTACAGAAGACAATAAAATATCTTTTCCTCCTTTAGACTTCAGGAAGATGAGAAAGAAACATAGGAGTGCTGAAGGTATGAGAAATTGGAGGATAGGTGCTAAGACTGATCAGAGAGCTGAGCTTTTGTTGGTAGTCCGGTACAGTTGGTGGGAGAAAAAAAAATGGAATGGATATTCAGAAAAATCTAAGAACAAATCATAAAGCCTTAATGAAGAAGTTGGGTCTGATTCTGCAGGCAGCAGAAAGCTTTTAAAGGCTTAATTTGGAAGATGATATTCCTGCTCTCTTGGGAAAGCCACTGTGGGAAAAGGTGGCAATTCTGTTACACGGGAGCAAAACGGATGAATCGCTGGGAAATTGATGAAGTCGTCCAGGTGCAAGTCCAGTGGTACACCAATGGGGATGAGGGAGAAGAGAGACGATAAGGAATGAGGGACGCTAGCTGTTAACCACCAAAGAATAGAGGCAGAGAAGTGCATTTCGGGAATCAGGGAGGTGATGATGGACGTGGTGGAGATGCAGATGAAGTCTGATGTGTTTTATAGACTTGAGAGAGAAATACGAAGAGAGGATACATGACAGCAAGGAACAGGATATCCAGAAAGCTAAGAACAACAAGTGGTGCCGCGGCTGTGGAGAAAGAGGAACACTTCCTCGCTGTGGGTAGCTGTGTAAACTGGTCCAGCCACTGTGGAACTCTGTACGGAGTTTCTCAACAAACTAAAAACAGATCCGCAAGATGACCTGGTATACTACTTCTGTGCACATACCTGAAGGCCCCTCATTCATAGCAGGTAAGAGGTGGACCTGGACTAGATGCACATCGACATATGGACGGATAAATAAAATGTAGTGCATATACACAAAGGCATTTTATGGGACCCCAAAGAAAACTGAAATCGTGCCATTTGCAGGTAAGTGAGTGGAACTGGAGACTGCCGTGTTTTCTCTCAGGTATTCTCTAGAATTTGATTTTTACACATGAAGGTGATGATCAGAGTGGAAAAAAGGAGCTCTTGGGTTGGAAGTGAGAAGAGTAAAGGCAAGAGAATACATATGAGAAGAGGGGTTCCTGTGGGAGCGAGCAGAGCAGCAGGAGTGGGGTAAGGGATTGGGGAGAACCAGAGCATAATGTGTACATTTCATTAAACCATCACTTGTATGCTAATATTAGAAACAAATTAAGAGTTAAAATTAATAATTTTCTCAACTATGTTTCTAGCTGAGTAACAATGAGATGCACTCCCAGAAGGAAATTATAAAGCTGGCCTCATACTTCTTAGGTTTGAAATAGATATAGGACATCTAAGAAAAGATACTGAATGGAGCAACCGGAGAGGTAGAAGCCGGAGCCATGATCGAGAAGCCGTTTGCTAGTGGACAAAGGAGACAGCACGGTGATGTCATGTGGGTTCTGCAAAAGAACTGCCAGGACTAAAACCTGAAAAGCTGAAGACCACACCCACCATGAGAGCTGGGTCCACTGGTGGAGTGGAAGATGAAAAACGGCCCTGTAATTTCAACAACATGGAAGGCTGAGACAAGAGAACAGAGACTCAATGGCCAGTCTGAACTATATCGTGAGGCTCCATTGTTAATAACAGTGTAGAGTTGGTTTAGTGGGGGTGGAGAGTGGGTTCTACTTCTTTACAAAAGAGGGAGGGGATGTTGACTCTGTAAAAGAAAAAAAAGACAAAGGCAATAAGTAACAATAGCTATTTATAGGAAAGCAGAGAAAGTGCCCAAGCAGAAATGAGATCAGGGCTGTGGTCGACTTGCTAACAACAGGGGCAGTTCTTGAGGTGCTTTGTTTTTTAAAAAGTCCTCCATAGCTTCCACAGGGTTTCAACATAGTGTGCTGAGGCAGGAAGGGGGCTACAAGTTCAAGGCCAGTCTAAGCAACAAGGTATGATTTCTGTTCTTAAATGGGGGGCTTGCACAGAGTGTCTTTACTGAGTCAGACTCTGACCTTAATAAGGTCTTCCAGGTGATGCAACAGTTTGAGGTTGAGTGTTGTGTAAGGTGGGGGGGTGGAGAGAGTAAATGAGTGACACTGAGAAGACTAGTAAACATTACGATGAAAATAAATGAAAGGGCATTTTAGCCTTAGCTATAGTTATGCTTAGTTATAGTTATGGTTATGCCCAGTGGTCAGTAGTTTCCACTCTTAATTTCATTTTAGAAATGCACACATCAGAAGTGATCTTGGAAATGGCAATAGGAAAGTGGGCATCAGTGCTTTTTACCAGTACATAAGCCTCTGAAAAATAACCCAGAACTGTGGAGTGAGCTTACAGGGAGTATTAATCCTACTGAGAGTTGCCTTTTACTTAACCCAATAAATAAATAAAATAAATGAATAAGTAAATAAAAACACATTTCTAAAGAAGACCATTTACACTGGTCAGCAAATCCAAGAGTACAGGCCAAACATCTCCATGTTTCCTTCTCTTCCATTTCTTTGTCTGCATAAATGGAATGGATGGACCACATAAGCATTCTATCCCAACATGCATGAAGTGGGAAAGAATAATTTCCTCCTAGCACAACCAGAAATGTAAAACACACGTTAAAACAGTCCAACAGAACAGACTGGATAAGTCACAGCTCTTCCACAGTAAAGGACTGTACTAAATGTGCTGTACTCTTCGTGGGTTGTTGATTGGTTTTGTTTTTTGTTTTGTTTTGTGTTTGTTTGTTTGTTTTTGGTTTTTTCAAGACAGGGTTTCTCTGTGCAGCCCTGGCTGTCCTGGAACTCACTCTGTAGACCAGGCTGGTCTCAAACTCAGAAATCCACCTGCCTCTGCCTCCCAAGTGCTGGGATTAAAGGCGTGTGCCACCACTGCCCGGCTGGTTTTGTTTTTTAAGTCTTTTTTTTTTTTTTTTTTTTGGTGGTGGCCTTTTTCCTATTATACTTTCCGTGTCTGGTTAAAATATTATTTAGGAGTCATATCGTGTATGTTCTCATATTCACTCTTAGGCAATAAATCTTTGTAATAGCCAAGACTAACACTAACATTCACAATGAAATTTCAGAAAGTCATTTCATTTCAGTAATGGCAGCAAAAACTTCACTTAAGAGTTAGTGTGCTAATAAAGCCAGTCTCTAATGTTCTAATGTGAGCTATTACAAACAACAACATGACACAAGTGGCATTTTATACAAAACAATGCTTCTAATTACCACTGCAGAATATGACCTGCAACTTGTCACTTGTGACCATCCACAAAAACAGTTAGTTTTCTGGGATCAAGTAACATGATATTTTTCTTGCAATAATTTGTTTATAACAGTCCATTAACCCCCAACTGCTTTACTTGGTTTAAAAACAGTATGTTTAAGGAATACTATAAATATAGAAATTCTATAGAATGAAAAATAATTAAAATAATATTAAGCTATTTCTGTCTCAATACTTATATTCATTCCCTTCACTGAGATATTTAGTTTCTACAAGAAGCCAGACATGTCAATACATGTGATACACTAGTGATAACAGACAGGTTCCCTAATAGAGCCTATAATGTAATAGAAGAGAGAACAATTAATCAAGTAGTTGCATAGATAAATATGTAATTGCATTTGTGAGTCATACTGTGAGGAGTGTTATGGAATGTGTCACAGCTATGCTTGATCTGTTAGGGGCGGTCACTCTGAGGCAGCTGAGCTGAGCCTTGCAATACAAATGGACTTTTGTGGGTGTAAAGTGGAAGGAAGGCTATTTCAAGCAGACCAGCATGTGTAATATTTACCTTTTCCTCTTCTTCACTTCTGCAGCTATAAACCACCTGCCCTCAAAACTACTGACATCATACTTCTCTGTTTTAAAGGATCATTTTCCTTGCCTTCCAAACTGTACTGAGGTGGCCTAAGTCACTAGTGTAAAGATCAACTGTGATGACTATTCAAAATTTGAAGCCCAACACAGTGACATCATTTGGAAACCATGGACACTGCTGATTTGAGATAGTCTGAACCTCTACATTTCACTATTCCAGTCCTCCTGCAATATTGTTATGAGGCTGAGTTTCTATAATTTGCTATCATAAAATGCAAAGATGAGGAAACTATTGTGGAACACAAAGATGTTTTCTGTCTGATCACAAGTAAAACACCACGTATATGAATGTTCCATTAAGAATGAAACAAAACATATAATGTATGCCTATTCGTTTTTAAATAGCTTCTAAGGTGT